GCATAAATGCTTTAAGATAAATATAAACTAGAATCCACATAATAGTCAGGTTGACTGGAGAAGGGCTGAATTTTCAGTTACTGGTTTTGCTAAAAAACTAGACAGGCTCTGCACTGGGCTCATGTTGGGCTTCGGGTGAAAGTGCATACAAATCTTTCTGGGAGGGGAGACAGCAATTAACAGGTTCTAAACTGTTCTGTGTCCTAAAAAATGATTAAGCCACAATATTAACATACTCTTTAAAGATAAACATAGATGATGTAGAGGTATGCTTGATAAGACGCTGAAAAAATTGACTATATATTATCAATATCCCCAGAATTCAATATAGAAAATTCAAATTTCATGGAAAAAAGTTTTCGGAGACTCCCATTTCTTTACAGTCCAGATTTCTCTTTGCTCATTTTGTTTCTGATGTGGCCATTTATCACCACCTAATGGTAACAAGTAGAATAACAAAAAAGATGAACAAGATTTTGAAATCACATTACAGTTCCAAAATTTTCTTCAAAACTTTTACTTTGGAAAAAAAAAGTGATAAAATTAACTACTTTGAAGATTTTATCAACTGATAAAATCTCTGGAAAAATCAAAACTGAGTTCACGCCAACTTCAATGAGCTGTCAGGCATATCACTTCATCATTCTGTGGTAACAATGAAATGTACGATAATCTGAACTCTTCAAAAATTCTGTGAAATTTGTGTTATTAAATAATGTTAAAATAAACATTTCTATTAATTTTAAACTTATATTTGTATGAGACCTTAAAAATTAGGGTTGGGTGTGGTGGCTCACGCCTATAATCCCAGCACTTTGGGAGGCTGAGGTGGGTGGATCACCTGAGGTTGGGAGTTTGAGACCAGCCTGACCAACATGGAGAAACCCCGTCTCTAATAAAAATACAAAATTAGCTGGGCATGGTGGCACATGCCTGTAATCCCAGCTACTCAGGAGGCTGAGGCAGAAGAATCACTTGAACCCGGGAGGTGGAGGTTGCGGTGAGCCAAGATTGCCCAATTGCATTCCAGCCTGGGCAACAAGAGTGAAACTCTGTCTCAAAAAAATAATTAATTAATTAATTAATTAATTAAGAAACCAACTGGAAAGAATACAGGCTTTGACGATTTATAGATTTTGTTGGTGGGTTTATTTCACGGTCTCTCTTTTGAAAAATGGAACATGTCTACTTTGTATTCTGTCCTAGTGGAGCACCTTTGAGAACAGACATGGAAGTTACAAGGGAAACACTGAGCAGGTTTACTTTACTTGCATATTCAATATTGATGGGTTCCCCAGGGAGCTGCTCACTGGGAAAAAGGAGCTACACTGTGATAGTATGTTAGATAAAAGCGGCAATGTCTATGCTGGTGAAACTGAACCTATATTATTTGTCAGCAAAGTTTCAAAAGCATCCTTCATGAGGATACATAAAAACTAAAACCATTCACCTGGATTCTCTCCTAGCAACCCTCCTTCTGAAGCTATCAAACTTGATGATAGTTAGCATTATTATGATTTGTCATACATTCACTCAATACTTTTATTGAGTCCAAAACTAATATGCATTAAAAAAACATGATCCATGTTCTCGATCCTTTGTAAGCCTAGAATTTAGATAAGCAACACAACAATAACAGCATCATCATCACCAAGAGGTAAAGAAGAATGCCACATGAGTGAAATAAGTAAAGTGCATTCAGATGAATACAAAATGCCACTTGGGGGACGGATAAAAGCTTCACAGACAACGTGGCGTGAGGATGAAGCCTTCATGGGGATTTCGGCCAGGGAAACCTGGTGAGCAGGCTTAGGAGGACAGCGCACCACACACCGGGGAGGACACTGTGTATGAGGGGCTGACAGCCGGAGCACAGCCGCGAGTGTGAGCTCTCTGTTACATGTTAACTTCGCTAGTTCACTAGACTATGGGAAGTCCACAGGACGATTCTGGGCAGGAAAGTAACAAATCAATGCTTTACAAAAACTAATCCAATGTTCACAGACAGGGAAGACTGACCAGCAGGATGGTGACATGCTGGCCATGCAGGCTCTGGAGTCCGTCTGGCTTACAAAATAACCTCCCACAACCTCTACAGCTTTGGTTTCTTCATCTAAAAAAGCCAGAAGTAATAGTAGCACCAAGCTCAAAGTTGTTGTGAAGATTTGATGAGAAACATATGATTTAAAATAGCAAGTGCTCAGTTGATGTTAAATATAATGACTGTTAGGAAGACAGAGGCCTTAAGAACAGCCCAGGTGTTATGATTTGCTTTTAGGATGCAGACAGATGCAGGACCGTAGGAACAATGCAAAGACTTGATGAGAAGATATGAGAATATTAGGAAGGAAAAGAATACAACTCACTCCAAAATTTTATTTTACAGAGAAGTATTAATGAAGAACTGATTTGGAAGGGGGCAAATGTGGTCACTTTACGCAATTTGAGTTTACAGTGGAGCCCATAAGCCTCACGGGCCGCTGGGAAGGCACGTCCTGGCTCAGGGTCAGACCAGAATCACACGCTGAGCCTTTAACACCACACAGACACATCAGATGTGTGAGGGTTCCAGCATTACTCAAACTTGGCACTTATCAACATGGTAACATCTACTGTATGTGATACATATTCCCAAGGCCCTACCTTCTACTTTCAAGATATTCTGATAACTTAATCTCTTCATAGGTAAGTGGTTTAATTCTACCATATTTACTAGGAAAAATGTATTACTGTTTAAAACATATAAACAGAAAGTCATAATAGTCTAGACTGCAGGGGAGTTGGGGAGACTGGGGGGCAGGCTGAACTTCCAATGGTGTCAAGTCTCTCCTGTTCTTCCAACCCTGAATTTAAAACTGAAATGAGGCACTTGGTTTCTCAGGAAGTTATGCGCTAGAAAGAACACTGGCCAGTGTTAGAAATTTTAAGAACTAACATTGGCCATTTGTGAGTTAGGATGGCAACTTGAACAAATCACTTTGTCTTGTTTCCACATCTGTAAAATGAAGGGGCTGGACTAGGTAGAAGGCCCTCCATCCCAGTGTAAACACTGTGTAATCTATGCTTGCTGCATCTGTCAAACACACATATAATATAAATCAATACACTTACGTAAGGTCTTAATGATATTCTCTGTACTACCCATCTTCAATGACATCAGCTTTCCCATTCACTTGGCAGTCTTTCCTGATATTGCCTATCTCATCCTAATTCCATGATATCTAAAACACTCCACTTGGCTCAAGTCTTTCTTAATTCTGAATTATCATGGTGTGATAGGCCAACTTCCAGAGAGAGGGCTACATTCAAATACAATCTATAGAAGAAGTTCATAACAGATAAAAAGACCTGCACATGTTTGCAGTATGCAAATTCAAGCAATATATACAAGGACTGTAGCAATAATGGTATCAGCTAAATGTTAGTAAAACAGGAAGAGTCAAAAAAACAGAGAAAAGATGTACCTTTTCTTTGTCTAGATGGATTCCACTAATTTCAAAATCAAACATAAACAGTTCAGCCACTCGCCTATAAATGAAATGAGCCCCAGGTTATAACAGGTAATAAAAATTACTAACAAAAAAAATTGCGGTTTTTTGTTAAATAAATCAGTCTTTCTGAGCCTCACTGCCAAAAGTTTTTTCAAAACACACACACACACACACACACACTTTGTTTTAAACAAGGATCTTAATATCCTCAGAAGTCAGGCAAAACATCCATCTGACTGACGATTACGATTGGCTCGTCATGTAAGAGCTTATTCCTTTATTCAGAGAGAACAAACCTGTGAAAGCCACCATAATAATTACTTATTTATTTCAACTCGATCCAAATCCTAATAATTAAAAACATAAAACAGGTTTTATATTTGGACAATTTTTCAAAGGCCCTCTGCGTGAGATTTTCAGTTTTTCTTCCAGCCAGTAGCAGCTATTTAGAATATTAAATCCTTTGATGCTGTGCTGGACTGCTGGACGCTGACTTTCTTGGCTAATGAGAATTGTTTTCTTTCTTTTTACTCCTGCTTCATGCTTGGAACCAATTTCAAGTGTAACACCTTTTTTTTTTTTTTTTTGGTCAACGGTATTTAAAAAAAAAAAAAAACCAACATCATTGAATGGAAATAATCAAATATTTGATCTACTCTTTTGGCTTTCCTTGAGTTTTCAAAATAGATATATTTACCTTCCTGATTATTACGTCAAATATACCTTGAATGGAAATTTATAGTGTACGTTTATCATATTACACAATACAGGTCTATTATGTGACAAAACTGTATTGCAGAAACATATGAAACATTTAAAATCACTAATCCTATCAAAGATAATGACTATTAAAATTCTTGTATTTCCTTTCAATCTAGTTTTAATGTTATATATATATAAAATATATTTAGAATAATTTAGAATTTAGAATAATTAAGGCCCAACTGTATACATTTATACTTGCTTTCTCTTGTAAAATTATATCACAAACATTGAACAGTTCTCCATGTCTTTAAATGTTCTTCACTTCAAAAAGTTGGCTTTTGATGCTTGTTTTGTATTGTCATAGAGAATGCAAATGTTTCTATTTTCCCACTCCCATGAACCACAATATAATAAAAATCTTTGTTACATTTTTTAATCCTTGTTTGTTTCCTTAGGATAAATTCCGAGAAATTAATCAAAAAGTATGCACATTGACATATATTACCAAATGCTCCTCCATAGAGACTTATCAACTTACACGTAACTAGAGGACCCATCATCCCAAACCAGAAGTGCTACTCTTATTCTGTTTCAACTTTGTCAGCCAGCAGCTTCATTCTACTTTCTACTTAATGGTGGTGGGTCTCATGCCAGGTACAGAGCAAAGCACTTTATACAAATTATTTTCCTTACATCTCATATGATTCTTAGGAAGTACTTTTCATTTCCTTTTTACAAAGGAGAAAACTAGGGCTTAGCGAGCTCTGAAGCCAAAGTCCAACCCCGCAGTTCCATTCTGGAGATGCACTTCCACCCACTTCACACTTGTTGCCACTGTTACACCTGTGGCACACTGCTATCAATTTTACGGCCATCTGTTGCTATTCCTTATTTTGTGAAATGAGTTTCACAAAGAGAATCTTTTGCCCATTTTTCTATAAGGGGGTTTTCTTTCCTCTTTTTTTAAGGTAATTTGAAAGTTCTCTTAACATAGTTAATATATTAACCCTTTGTCATATAAGAACCATTTTTTCACATTCTTGTGTTCTGACTTTGAATGTGGAAGTGTTTTGCCATACCAAAGTTTGCAATGTTTATATAATAAAAATCAACTAATCTTTCTGCGGTATGAGTTTGTATCATGCCGAGAAAGACCTTCCACATCCCAAGATTACCACTAGTTTTATAATTTCTTTTAAAAATATTTACATCTTTAATCAGTCTACTTTTTTTACCCCAAATGGTTATCCACTGGTCTAACATCATTTCCTGAAAACCAAGTCTTTCCCTACTGATGTGAAATGACACTTTTAGCACGTACCAAATAGTCTTACCGTGTGTGTGTGTGTGTGTGTGTGTGTGTGTGTGTGTATATCTGTCTGTGTCTAAATTTTCTGTATTCTTCCATTGATCTCATTGACTATTCAGGCATTTTTAAGTATAATGCTCTTTAAATACAGCATTTTTATATGTTCTACTGTCTGGTATAAGTCCCTTTTTAGTACTTTTCCTTATAAGAGTTTTCCTGCCTATTCTGGCATATTTATTCTCTATGACTTCAAAATCATTTTAAGTAAATCATTTTAATTCTCAAAATCATTTAAGAATTTAAAAAAAAAATTCTTTATAAATTAGATAGCGTTAAACTTACAGTAATAAACACTACTGAGCTTTCTTCTTCCTTAAGAATACAGCATGTTTCTCCATTTCGGTCGCTTGCATGCTTCTCAGGTGTTGTGTGTGTCGCAGTTCCTCTACCTTCCTAAGTTCATTCCAACATGTGTTACAGCTTTGGCTGTTCTTGCAACTAGAATTTTCCCTCCATTATATCTTCTGGAGAATGTGATTATCTTCTTTACATACATGAAAGCTTTTAATGGCTTTGGAAAAACCCCAAGTTAAACAGGTTTCTTTATGGCCTGCCTTCTCAGAGACTCTAAACTACTAAATTCTTCAAGCAGGGAAATACATTGATACATCAGATTTCCAAACTTACTGACTGAAGGAACCCTTCTCAGAAAATTTCTGAACATCTCAGAGAACTAGTATTTCAAGGATTGAATCTAAGAATAAGATGACGAGTTAATTTAAATCATTTCCTCTGTGCATTAACTTACCAGACAAGAGTTTATTAAATCTGTAATTCTTTGCTTTAGCCACTGTCTTATATTTTGCCATATGAATGGTTCCAAAATATAATTATTTCTGGGTGCTAGCCAATACTCAATGATATATAAGTGCCACGACACTGCAATAATTATTACTTCTAATTCTTCTTCTCTCCTACTTCCAAGTTGCTTTTCTTTTCTAGACTGTTGATATTCTACCCAGTTTATTTTCCCCAATATATTTATCATTTTATTATTTAAAAATTCCTATTGGCATTTTTAATAATATCTAGAAGTGTGGTATGGATCCTATCACTACGAGTCCTTTCTATCTAAAATGGTCTGCTAGTCCACTACAATTTTTATACACAAACAGGGGCATGTCGATCTTCAGTAAATACAGATTATGAATAACCTTCTATTTTTTACATTTGTTTGTTGTTATTTAAAGTCAGTACCAGTTCAGTATAAATCTGGCACAATTAATAGGAATTCAACTTTTCCTTGCTTTGCTAATGAAAGCAAGATAACGATAAAGCTTAAACTACGGTGATGACACAGCTAGCTTTACTAGTGTCCTGAGCATCAGGACTGATAAAGTAAAATATCACTAGGTCCCTGCACACCTGCCAGACAGGTGACAACAACCCCTCGAAGACTGAGCTACTCACATACCATGCTGTTCATGTGTTAGATTAACAGCAACCTGAACCATCAATTGGTCCCTATAGAAAATGGCTTCATTTGGGGTCAATAAGCCACGTACGGAGACAAAATAGGAGAAGGAAACAGGATCAGAAAGACTCAAGTTGTCGGAGGAAGTGTCCCACCAATAAAAAGTAGATAAAACAGGAATAAATGAGAAAAAAATTAATCTGTGTTACGGCATACATATAAGCAGGTTAAAGACAAACCCTACTCCACTGACAATTGCATTTGAGCAAAGAAATAAGATGCCTAGGTTCCTATACCAAATATTCTAATGTGTTGATTTAGAAGTAAGGTCTTTTCGATTCAGATTTATAAATGTAGCCTAATGAACCAAAGCAAATCATTACAAGCATCTTGACATCCTCCCAGTAGATAAAATCGATTTGCTTATATTTTCTGATAGTATCAATTATGGAACTTTGAGCATAAAGCTAAGCGTAACTATTAACTGTCTACTGGAGTTCACTCATTAGTTGGGCACCGACCACATGCCATGAATGTGTAGGTACTGAGGATGCAGCTGGGAACAAAACAGACCAAGCCCTGCCCTCAAGGAGCCTGCAGTCTGGTGAGATAGATGACAGATAAATAAACAAATAGGATACGTTGGAAGGAATGAGGGCTATGAAGAAAAATAAATCAGGATCAGAGGGTTGAGTCTGACCCTGTGTAACGATTTGGGAGGAGACACCATTTGAGTGGAGTCCTAGAGAAAGTGCAGGAGTCATAAAGATACCTGGGGAGGAACATTCCAGACAGAAGAGGCTGCAAGTACAGAGGCCCTGAGGGAGAGTCTCCCAACCTCACCTCTAGAGTCACAGTCACAACCAACGCAAAGAAATGACTGGGTACCTTGTTTCTGGATCAAGGGAATCCACAAGTTTTTTATCAGCTAGTAATTTTTGCAAACTTTGATATAAATCCACATTTGTGTTCAACCTAGAAAAATGAGAAATTAAAAAAATTAGATCACTTCCAAATATCTTATTTTTAACTTTATATGAAAAGAATGGTGTCACAGTGTACCATACACATGCCCAGAAGCTGAACAGCATAACCCACCAGGAACAGTGTAACCATTCTTCCTTCCCACTTTCCTTCCCTTTTCTCCTTCCCTTCTTTCTTTCTTTCCCTTATTTTGGAGACAGGGTCTCACTCTGGCACCCAGGCTGGAGTGCAGTGGCACAATCACAGCTCACTGCAGCCTCGATCTTCTGGGCTCAAGTGATCCTTCCACCTCAGCCTCCCAAGTAGTTGGGACCACAGGCACACACCACCACGCCCAGCTAATTTTTAAATTTAAAACCGCTGTAAGGGAGAGCTCAGGACACAGGCCTCAGCGCCATGCAACTGGGATGCAAGACTGGCCCTGTAACCGCTCTGGGACCTTGGACACGTTATTTAGACCTTAGGCTGCCGTGAGGATTAAATGAGATCATGTGTGCAGCACACGTTTCCTGTGTGAATGAACCATGGCCACTATTGAGCAGTTGTGCCATTCAGAGAGCAAAGGGCCCAAGGCTGGGCAGTGGTTCCAACCCACCCCACAGTACCACTGGCAGGAACCCAGTCCTCTTCCCTAAATGCAAATGCCATGGCCCTCTCAGAGCTGAATAGTGAGCTGGGTCTAGGAGGGATAAGGTTGTAAGAACCACTCACCAGTCTCTACTCACAGAGTCAGCGATACTCCTGTTCCTCAGTTGGTTCAAAAAAACACTGAAGATTTATATCAATCGAAGGGTTTCTGTTCCCATTCTCATGGGCCTTTCCAAATACCAGTGAAATGCAGGTAGTCATTACTCATCAAAAAACACTCACCAAGAAGGGCCAGACTCCCACACGTGGATCCCAGAAGTCACGGAGAGAGTGAGTGCCAAAGCCTACCTCCTCCTAACCTGCTCACCCATGGAGCCACTCCATGGCAAAGGGACAGCAGTTCAGAGGCTGCCCGCACTGCCCGCACTGCCCGCACTGCCCCCACTGCAGAGGTTTAAGGAAATCGTGCATTGCCCCCACTGCAGAGGTTTAAAGAAATCGTCCCAGTATGTTTTACGTTGGAAGACCCTGAGATAAAGCCCATACTTCTGTCTGTATTTGTCCTCCCACAAAATGAAGAGTGATTGTCCATGAGACTGGCCTGTGTCTAATTCTGCAGGAAACAGTGTGCAGAGCGCCTCGAGCAGGCAGCCCACTGCTGACGACTTGCCAGAGGCCCTTCCCTGAGAGGCAAAGCTTTCTCCCAGGGAGTCCCCGCTTTCAGCCCCGTCAGCGTGCCCAGCGCCTGCACTCTGCAGGGCCCAGTTCTACCCCATTCCGCGAGCTGGTTTTCAGCGGCTGTGGGAAAAGTCACACACGATCATGCCAAAGTGAACAAATGCTGCCCGACCTGGGGAAAAACAGCTGCTGCACATCCTGAAATGCTGGGTCTTCCAAGGGAGCCTCGTCTAACCAGAGAAGCCATCACTCTCCTCCTCCAACAACTTCTGGTATATGAAATTGTCCTCTCGTGTTACCCCCTTTTCCCTGTTGTAAATCCACGCTGGCAAGCCCAGGGCTCTCCCTAGCTCTGTACACTGCCTGGCATGGTGCCATGCAGCTAAGTGTGCTGGAATACAGCACTGTCCACCAATAAATTATTTTAACAAGCACTATGGAGCTCTCATAAGTGGCTTAAAAACATTTACATTTACCTCAAAATCACTTTAAAATAATTCACTCCATCACAGCCTCAGCCAGAGCCTGCGCCAGCCCTCCCACAGACTTTTACGGCCTCCCTAGACTCCCCTAATTCCAACTGACAGGGGCCACAGGGACACTGTTTATACAGCATTTTGGCTTCTCGCCCTGTGGCCCACAGCCATTGATGCAACAGCAATTTAATCAAGCGAGAATCTAGTAAGTTCAACTTGCCACTAGGATACTAAAAGCCCTTGTTTAAGGTAAGTGATAATGGTGATGACAAGAATCCTGGGTGTCTACGATCTCAGATTATCAAGTGACACCTTTACATTGATCTCATTTAACCCTCACAAGGACCCCGAGGCAGGGTTAACTTTACACCCCATTTACAGACAACCAGCCCTGAGGCCCAGTGCCCGCCTGTGAGGTGAGCCAATGGCCTGTCCTGAGCCCTCCCTCTGGCCACCCCTGGTCACTCACACCTCCCACCCTGCTGGGCGGGGGACAAGCACTATGGACTGGACAAAACTGCACAAGTCCACGAAACCGGATCACCCAGGACGAGGCACAGAAGGGGGCAGGAGAACAGCACATACTTCTCTACCATGGTGCCAATACTTCTACAAGCTTCTTCCGCGGCTTCTCTGAATGCTGGCTCAGGGTGAGCGATTTTCACAAAATCAGCCTAATAAAGGGGAAAGACAAAACCAAAAGGGGATTTGATGAGAAGTTTTCTTCCAGGATCTGAGGGTGAAAATGAAAACCGGGTTTTAAGATGTGCCATTGGCTTGGCCGATGCATTTCCATTACTGACTTTTTCCTAAGCGAGAAAAGCAAAGCAACTTCTTTCAGAACATTTAATTGTTATTCCTTGAAACCAACTTTGTTTCATTCCAAAAAAAAAACTTTTATTAACTTTATTTCAGAAAAGTTTTTCTCTTTCAAATATAAACACCAAGCAAATTCTTCCTTTTTTTTTTTTTTTTGAGACAGAGTCGCCCAGGTTGGAGTGCAGTGACACAATCTCAACTCACTGCAAGCTCCGCCTCTCGGGTTCACGCCATTCTTCTGCCTCAGCCTCCCATGTAGCTGTGACTACAGGTGCCCGCCACCATGCCCTCTAGTTCTTTATTTCAAAAGAGCAGGCACTGGTTTCAAATATTCTACAACTTTCTGGCTAAAATTATTTGCAGTATGGTTCTCACATGTTAACTTATCTCCAGAAAACAACTCTTACAGGCTTTTTTTAACTAACACATACAGTATAGTTTCAAAACCCACTTAACTACATTCTAGTCTTTGATTTAACTACATTGTAGTCTTTGTGCAGAAAACAAAGGCACAGTCTCTTTACAGTCCTTTTAATAAAATCTGAGTTCATAGTCTCCACGTAATACTGTATACAACTACTACTGCTGCTACTGAAGTCATCAGAAATTAAAATGAGTGAAAATTCTTTTTTAAAAACATAAAATGATGTAAAAGTAAATTTTCGTTTTCATGTCAAAAAGCAGATAAACTACGAAACACTACATATTTTCTTCATTTGCCAAGAAAATGTGTGTCTATAACATGAAATAAAATCACCACAAGATAAAATTTCCTAATTTTATTATCAAATAGTTTTTAATGCCAAAACATTTAAGTCCATAGTTTGGTATATTTGTTGTAACAACTGGTAACGATAAAATAACATTAGTACCAAAGTAGCTGAAAAATGAGTTACATAAATTTACAACATTTTTTTTACAAATTACTAATCTACAGGTTGTGAATTTATAATCAATATTAAAATTCAAAACACTAGCATACATATTAAAAATGGGATTTGTAATAGTGACGAAGAAAACAGTTCTGTTACATAAAACTGTATTAAAAAAAGAAAACAAAATAAAATGACTACTTGGTGAAAAACAGTTTATAAAACGATTGTCTTATAACAGTACTAATCTTACTGGCAGGTAATATCTTAAAAATCAAAAACAGAGAAAGGTTCTTTTTTATCCAGATAACTACATATATAAATCACATCTTCTTTTTTTTTAAGTTTTCAGAATGAGATATTATTATACATAAATATTAAAAATGTCAAAATAAGATACAGGGCAGAGAAGTTAAAATCTTTTAGTGAAGACCAAAAGCGAAAATGTAAAAAAAAATCCTAGAATACTGATTAAGATGAAGACCAAGACAAAAAATACACAGTGAATTCTGGGATTTGTGACAGCCACGCCAATGGTCACCCCTCACTATCACTGGGCAATGGTTAGCTCCTCCCACAGATACCCGAATCCACAGATGCTCAAGTCTCTGATATAAAATGGTGTAGTACTTGCATGTAATTGATACACAGTACATCCCATACGTCAAATCATCTCTAGATTACTTGTAATACCTAATGAATGTAAATAATATGTAAATAGCTGTTACACTGTATTGTTTTATGGAACAGTGACAAGAAAAAAAAGTCTGTACATGTTCAGTATGAATGCAAATTTTTTTTTCCCAAATATTTTTGATCCAAGGTAGGCTGACTCCACAGATCCCCCAATCTGGAGGATTGACTATATAGTGAAATTCACTGACACAGATTTTCATTTTCTGATTTCAGTGACACAATTAGGTGAACAGGGTATGAAACCTTCTTTTGAGCAGTACGTTTCCACAGCTCCCCCACCATTCAAAGACACATTTCCTATGCACATACTGGAGGCACAGAACAAAAACCCAGTACAAACAGAACTACCCAGAGCCTGCAACTTCACTCCAGAGAAAAACGCTTTACAATAATATACTTTATCAGTTTCCTTAAGAAAGGGGAGCTTGCGGTAAACATATCTGAAAGGTGTTAATGCTCAAGTCAAGTGCGTGGGTGGAAGGAAATTTTCCAAAACAGGAAAAACTGAAGATGGGGATGAGTTATGCTGGTCAAAGAAGCCATCAAAAGGTATACAGGATTCCACTTAGGTGACGTTCCAGAAAAGTCAAAACTATAGGGATAGAGAACAGATTAGCGGTTGCCAGAGGTTAGTGGAGAGGGGTGGGTGTGACAATAAAGGGAGACTTCTGGGGGTTGATGGAACAGCTTTGTATCCTGATCGTGGTGAGGGCTGCACAAATTTATACAAGTTAAAATTCACAAAATTGTACTATCCTCCAAAAGAAGTCAATTTTAAAAACAAGTACATAATTTTTTTTAAAGATAGAGAGACTAACAAACTTTGCAAGCTTTCCAGGTAAGGGTTCATGAGCCCCGAGCAGCCAGCCAGCCCTGAAACAGTTGGAACAGGAGGAAGAAGAGCTTGACAGATACCCTGCCTGGTCTGGCAACCCAGCTGCACCACACTCTGGCCAGGTGACAGCGGGCACATCCCTTCATCACCCAGTGCCTTTCTTCCCTCTTGTGAAAACGGAGCTATGCTGAGAAGGTTACTTCAGCTCATCCAAAGAAAGCTTCTTCAGCTAACTGAGCTGTAGAAAGGGCCTCCAGCCTAGTTAAATCTAAAACAAGTTAATGCCAGAATATAAACTCCATGAAATAAGAGATTGTGCTGTTTTATTCCTGCACGTATACCTCGTGCCCAGACAGTGTCTGGCACACAGTAGGTGCTCAACATTGACTGAATGTGAGGGAAAAACCTATGTAGTTCAATACCGTGTAGACAGGATCATAAATAATCGCTATTTAAATTGTGTGTGCTGCTTTCCTTGACAAGAGTCACCAAGAGTCGGCTCCTTCAGGCTGATAGAAAATCCCGCTTCCTGGAAATGAGCATATGGAAGAGATATCTGCACTTCCATGTTTGTTGCAGCTCTGTTCACAACATCCAAGATTTGGAAGCAACCCAAGTGTCCATGAACAGACGACTGGACAAAGAAAATGTGGTACTCACACACAATGGAGTGCTATTCAGCCATAAAAAAGGATGATATTATGTCATTTGCAACAACACGGATGGTCATTATGTTAAGTGGAGTAAGTCAGGCACAGAAAGACAAACATCACATGTTCTCACTCATTTGAGGGACGTAAAAATAGATACAATTGACTCATGGAAATAAGAGTAGAAGGAGGGTTACCAGAGGCTGGGGAGGGTAGCAGGGTGGTGTGGGGGAGGTGGGAATGGTTAACGGGTATAAAAAAACAGGAAGAATGAGTAAGACCTGCTATTTGATAGCACAACAGGGTGACTACACGCAATAATAATTGTAGATTTTAAAATAACTAAAAGAATATAATTGGACTGTTTGTAACACAAAGGATAAACGCTTGAGGGGATGGAGACCCCGTTTTCCCGGATGTGATCACTGTGCACTGCATGTCCCTATCAAAACATCTCGTGCACCTCATGAATATATACATGAGGTATATTAAAATTAAACATGAAAAATGAAAAAAGAAAAAGAAAATTTTGCTATCTTAGCAACGGATTTCCTAGTTGGTGTAGAGATCTAGGTATACACTTCTATTTCAACTTTAAAATGTTAAAAAAAAAAAAAAGGCTTTACAATCATTTTGATGTTAAAACTTGTTTTTTAATTAAAAAAAAGCATTCCTGAAAAGGTTTATTAAAACTGGTTCTCACACCTCTTATGAAAAAGAAGTGGCTCACACTTATAATCCCAGCACTTTGGGAGGCTGAGGCAGTAGGTTCACTTGAGGCTAGGAGTTCAAGACCAGCCCGGGGAACACAGGGAGACCCTGTCTCTATTACAGCAAAAAAAAAGAAAAAGAGGAATTTTGTTGTAAACGTACACATAAAGTGTTCTTAGAATTTGGGGAGAAGCGTTCATAAATGAAGACCCTCTGTCAAATGAATATATATGTAAATATATATTAGTAATCATTCATTATATTACATGTATATTTTATTAAATATACATATTAAAGTACAAGTTCTAAATATCACCTTTTCTGATAACATTTTCCCCATTCCTAATGACATATTTCATCATAAAAAATCATACCTAATGGATCTCAAACAGTTTCAGACATTTTTAACTTTATAATCTAATATTAAGAGTAAACAACGAAGGATAAACTTCACTTAAATTTTAGCAGGGTTGAAAGAGAGGTAGCTTCAAGTCTAAGGCAAAGCATCTTACCAAGTCAGCCACTCTGCACAAGGAATCCGAGAGCTCATCGAAGATCAGCACGGTCTGGGGCCCAGGTGGGGTGGAACACGCACGGTCCACAAGCAATTCTGTCTTTCTCAAGGCTTTTTCTTGTGCAATATGAAATCCTTCTGGGGCACTGAGCTCAGGAACTCCAAAAAGACCCTTAGAACCAAAGAATACGTCTGATTTATAACCAAAATTCAAAACTGTGCTTCTTTGATATTTACTAAAATTACTTTTATCACAAAGGAAATCTTGGCTTTCATTGGGGTATCATGTCATACCTGTGATCACGGATACCACTATCATACTCCCCATATCACTCCACATAAATTACACTAAAAATGTTTCCAGAACACAATTTTTCTTCAATTTTTAACTATTTTCTGAAAAAAAAAAATGATATGGGTTCAAAATCCAGCTCTGTCACTTCTACAGAACCTAAGAGTGGCTGCAAGAATTAAATGAGATAATATATGTAAATATATATGTGTGTGTGTATGTGTGTGTGTATATATATATAGCAGTGTTTATAGCACACAGCATTTGATAGATAGATGTCAGCCATAATTATTATTAGTTTATAACCCTGGTCATGTTATTTCTCCTCCTAGGCCTCATATTTTTTCATCATGTACAATGGGAATGACAATACATATCTTACAGCAGGGATACACATACTAAGGATATGTAAAGTACTAAAAGCAATATCTGACAGAGTAAGATCTCAGTACACAGTACCAATTATTCTACAACTATCAAAGAGAGAGGATGAGTTGACCACGAAGCAATAGATATTTTAGAAAAATTTAATGAACATATTAAAATCATAGGCTGAAACTGGGAGCAAATTTATACGTTCCAAAGACATTACAATATCTTGATAAAAATAAAAATCACTGATCTAATGGCAATGACCATTCTCTTGTTACCTATTCAATCACACTTGTTAGCACACTCAGGAAGGCAGGGAAAAAAGCATTTAATATGCACCTACCGCATACCATGAAGTGCGCCTGCTACTTTACACAGGTTCTCATTTCAATCACACAATCCTACAGAACAGAGTATCATTCTTTTATAGATCAGGACACATGCTTTAAGAGGTTAGAAAAGGCGGGCGGATCACGAGGTCAGGAGATCGAGATCATCCTGGCTAACGCGGTGAAACCCTGTCTCTACCAAAAATACAAAAACATTAGCTGGGCGGGCGGCGTGCACCCGTACTCCCAGCTGCTGGGGAGGCTGAGACAGCAGAATGGTGTGAACCCGGGAGGCGGAGCTTGCAGTGAGCCAAGATCGCGGCACTGCACTCCAGCCTGGGTGACAGAGCAAGGCTCCGTCTCAAAAAAAAAAAAAAAAAAGAGGTTAGAAAAAACTTCTTTGAGGTCACAAATTAATATTGGCAAAGCCAGAATTCGAACCCGCTCTGTACATCTCTAAAGCCCACACTTTTCCATACTTCTCTATTACAGTTACAATCTCAATTACAATCTGTTTGAAAGTCTTCTCTCCTGAAAAGGTGAGCTTCCAGACCCAAGAGCCGCTGCCCTTCATTTCTTTAACCAGCTATCCAACAGAACGTCTAACATATGGGGGGAACTCAATGAAGGAAACAAATGACCGCAGCAGGGGCTGGGCTTTGTTAATTAACTTTGCAGGTGTTTAGCACACACACTTTCAGAAATAGCAGCACGTAAACCTTCAGGCCTGATGAGGCCTACTGTTTCTACAACAAGGGATGGATGAAGTTAAGCTATTAATCTCTCTTCAAAATATATTACAAGTTAAAAAAATAAAAAAGAGTCAGTGGGGGACAAAGGAGAATCAGGACTAAAAACAAATGTCATCTTTATATTGATTTAATTTGATTCAAGCGCAGACTAATTCCACTTCCCAGTACAACCTGCCCTATTGCCGCGTTGCCCTCGGGAATTCTAACTCTCGGATTACCAGTGACCTTCGTAATGCTAAAAAACTGAATAAACCTTTTTTTCCCAAGGCAAAAACCAATTCACAAATTTGAAAATCTGCTATCGGTGCTGAGTATCAAGATACAAAAGGGAAAAATAAAAGCTAAAATTAGATACATCTCATCTACCCAAAATCAGGCCTCACGTCTTTCTCCTCAGCGCCCACAAGCAGTTCTCACACCAACTATGTTAATACCAACATTGCATACTCTTAAGGAATGTGGTGTTGCAAATTTCACACAAAATAATTTTAAAACAGACAAAGCTGATAATGGAGATAAAACCAGAATCATACACCTTAGCTCAGTGCAATACCCTAGACTCCTCTTTATAAGGCAACACACTATAATGAAATTTTAAAAGGCAAAAATAAAAGTAATCCTTAACCTAAAACGGACAAAATATACAAACTCCAAGTAGAACAGGCATCAGGTAAGTCCCTTCCAACCTTGCCTCCTTCTCACCTTCCACTACACAATGCACTCTAGTGACTTCCTGGGGTAAGAAACCCAACTGACCAATTCCATGGCACTATGGTAAGTCAGACTCGTCTCAACAGGGTTTTGTGTTTTAAAACAAGAAAGCCCAAAGCTTTCAAATAAATTAATAGGCGATGGAATTTCATGTATCAATGAAATTACCATTACTTGACTACAGGCAGCCGTGTCCCTGCAAAAAGACCAAGTGATACCGCCTGTGAAGGCACAGGGATAGGCCTCCTAAGGCAGGACTGCAGCGCTGGAACTAAAGGGCTTTAGCGGGGGTGCAGGTGCATGTATGCAGAGGGCGGGTCCTGGCAGGCCGAATTCACCGCCACTGCCAGGACGAACTATTCAGATTCACCTGGAGCAAGTGGCTCATGCAGAGGCAGTTCCCGGACCCGACACTCTGGGGAGGAGACCACTAAGCCAGGCCCCTCAAACCAGAGGTGACCTTGCCCTCATCGAGAGGGCACACAAGACGCCACTGTACGAGGTGGGTTCGCTGCCCGCCTCCTCCCAGGCCCAAACAATCTGGCCCTGAGTGTCGCTGGCCGCGCGGAGCAGAGGTCGGCTTAGCTCGCGGACTGAGAGGAGCTCCTCTTGTGCCGCTCACCCGGCGCTCGCCGAACAGGTCCAAGCGGCTGCCCTGGGGCTTGACATTGAAGGCGGCGCCCACGGGAGACCAGCTGGTGCTGACCCTTCGGGCCCGGATCCCGGCCTGAAGGCTTCCCTGGCCCGCCCACCGGGGCGGCAGAGCTGCTGCTCTGGCTCCGAAGCCGCCCAGCCTTCCGACGCACAGCATTCTATCCCCGTAGCAGTCCCTTCCTCCCACGCGAGACCCCTGCCCTGGTGCTTTCGCCCGGAACGCGGGCTCCGCGTTTCCAAGGCAGCGGCCCACGCCGCCCCACGTGACGGCTCCGCTTCCGGGTCTGGGCGTGGCCTCAGGACGTGGGCACGTTGACGTCCAGAGAGCAAGAGCGTCGCTGCCCTGCCTTCTCAGCCGCCGTCGCGGTTTACCGCCCCCTGTGTCCAGAGTAAGGAAAGGCTAGGGTTGCGCTTCCCTCCCAAGTTGACTAGGGGGCTGGGCGCAGGCAAAATCATGACATATTCGAATTCCGGTGGACATTAGATATTTTTTGAGAGATGGTAGGTACTTGAGTAAACAAGAAATGCCCGCCATAGGTCTGAAGGAGAAATTTTCCTTTTAACCAACTCTCTTGGTAAATTCATCCTGCACTTCTCTGTTTGGTGTCTCTGCCCAGTAACTTTTTACTCTTGCATAGCTCATTTAAAAACTTTAGATGGGAAACAGTGAAAGCAGTCTAATGGGATTTTCCCTGCAGGGTTTCAGAATTGTCTGGGACCCGTGATCCCTTTTTTCCTCCCCCTTTCTCTCCTTTGAGATGGACTGTCTACCCTATGCCGGCCCCCGCCCCGCACCACTGTCTTTTAAAAGTGGATTAACTTTTCTGGTTTCGCAGAATCACACATGGACAGAAATTCGGCCACAGGATGAATCACCCAGGAGGTCTCCTCTGTAGCTTATTTAAGGACGTAGATGGTGAGAGGAGTTGATGCGGAAAGTGTTAAGACTTTTGGAAATGTTGAGATGGGGCGAAAATGTATTTCGCACATGGGAAGGAAATCGACTTTGGGAATCAGAGGGCAGATTGGGCTGAACTGTGTCTCCCAAAACAGATGCTGAAGTCCTAACCCTCGGTACCTGTACATGTGACCTTATTTGAACATAGGGAGTTTGCAGAGATGATTAAGATGGGTCATACTAGCTTAGGGAAGCTGTCCTTGTAAGAAGAGGAAAATGTGGCTGATACAGGAGGAGGAGGACAGCCACCTGAAGATGGCGGTGGGGACTGGAGTGATGCTGCCACCAGCTGCCAGGAGCTGGAAGCAGCAAGGCCGGATCCTCCTGCAGCCCCTTTGGAGGGAGCATGGCCCTGCTGCTACGGTGATCGCAAACTTCCAGCCTACAAAACTGAGAAAGTCCATTTCTGTTGTTTGAAGACTCCCACTTTGCGTACTTTATTTGGGCAATCCTAGAAAACAAACAGAGATTCACGACTGGCAAATAATGATCAAACAATGATTTGTTGGATGGAATGGTGATTAAAACCTAGGTTAGAAAATGAGCAAAGTGGGAGGCAGAGCACTAGGACAAATAGCTAATGCATGCAGGGCTTAATACCTAGGTGATGGGTTGATAGACGCAGCAAACCACCACAGCACATGTTTACTATATAACAAACCTGCACGTTCTGCATATGTATCCCAGAACTTAAAAATAATTTTTTAAAAAAAGACAAAATGAGCAGTGTCTACAGCTTTCTGGAGTGTGACAGCATCACCAACTTAAAGCTGTTACTAGTACTAAATGGAATAAAGATTTCCCTTTACTTTCCCCTTACTGTCCTCAGAAACACAGATGAGGGATACATCCTCACATGACTCCTCAGAGCACTAAAATGGTATCAAAACACTCTTCCCACAAGAAACACACAGGCAAAGGATCTTCAGATAATAGGAATAAGAAATGTGAAGTAAATTAGAATAAACCATGCAGCTATTTTCAATATTTACTCCTGGAAAGACAGTAAGTTACACAGAATCAGTTTTGGGAATAACTTTTCCGTTTTCACCTTTTTATGATTATTGTAATAATTGGAGGAATTAATAAAGTAAAACCATCTGAATAAGTTCGTCACCAAGCTGATTCTGATGGATGGTGTGGCTGATTTATAAACTCTCCTCTGTCACGGGCTGCTGAACAGAAGGAACCCTGTGAAAGTTGTGTCGTCCTCATCAGCAAACAAGCCATTGAACCTTTCTCCTCCTGTCACCTGCAGCCACACCTCATCCCCCAGCTTCAGCTGCAGGACAATGCCGCCAGAGGCCTGGTCCTCAGAGCTCATGTAAGCGTCTTTGGTGTGCAGTATTTTTACTCCATTTTTGACCAAAGACACCTGAACATTCCTGGAGAAAACAGTGATGTGGTAGGTGAAGTAATAGACCCCAGCAATGTGGCACGTGAACTTCCCCGTTGCTATATCATAATGGTTGAATTTGTTATACGGGATCTTATCAAATTTAATGGGCACATCTGAAGAAGGAAACTTGCTCAGCACTGTGAGCCCCACAGTGAAAGCACTTTTTGGCAAGACTAGCGTCTCACCCATTTTCCCTTTCTCTCCTCGATCTCCTTTCCAGCCTCTTATTCCCCGGACTCCTGGCTCGCCCTGGGGCCCCATGGATCCAGCTTCTCCCTTGGGACCAGGCTTTCCAATAGGCCCCATGGAACCTGGTAAACCAGTTGGGCCCAAAGGCCCAATGTC